AAATAGCTCTTCACATTCATATTGGTTCTAGTTCTTGGTTTAAAGGATTAAATAAACAGCTCTCTGCAATACTTGCCTGCAGTCTGATGCAGTACTGTGCCACCAGATGTCCTCAGTTTTCTGTGCTCAATGACACCCAGCGTCATTCAACCCAGAAGGACGTCATGAGAGACCATGGCAGATTGGACAAAGCTGTTTTCTTTTTAAACCAACAAAAGGACCAAAATTGATGTGAACTGCAGGATGAGGATGAGCCTGTTTATAATTTGGCAAGGCAGACACCTCTGTGTGGAATAAATAGATAGGCTATTAAGGAAAAAAATAAGTTGCCTTTCAAAAATGTGTTTTTGTGGTAAATTGAAACGTTCAGTCCGTTGCGTCCAATTTAGTTTCTACTGATGTATTCTGAACACTAAACATGTTTTTAATCTGTTCAAAAGCTGAAATTGATTGTTTTACCGGGTACAATTAAAAGGGGACATTTAATGGTTTTTGGTCAGTTGTATTTTTTTAAAGTTTATAAATTGTTTTATATTTTTGAATAATTGGTTTGAAATATTTGTTAGAAATAAGCAGACAGTTGGCATCTTCAGAAGGTGGTCACCAATGAGAACATCTGTATTTCTCTCTTCTACAGTATGACAGGTTTCCTAATAAGTAGGGATGCACCGATACCGATTTGTCGAGTAAGAGTACCAATTATTATACTTCCAGTACCCGCCGATACTGAATAGCGATACCGGAAGTCCCGATAAGGAAGCCAGACGGCATGTAACGACTCGCCACCCGGCTTCCCGATTAGCAGGGAAGCTGGGCGGTGTGTAAAGACTTGCCACTCGTCTCCATGTTCCCTCATCACCTGGTGAGGAGGAAGCATGGAGCCGGCTTTCTGGCCAATCAGGAAGCCGGGTGTCGTGTAATGACGTGCTGCCCGACTTCCTGATTGGCCGGTCTCTCGTCATACCAAGTATCGAGCCAGGCATTGGAGTGAATGTGAGTACACGGCACCGATACTAGTATCGGTGCATCCCTACTAATGTTTTAAGTATGTAAAAAGTGGTGACTTCTGCTGAGCGAGCAATTAATATTTACCTATCCCGCTGCCTGCGCCCTCAAGCTCCTCGAGAAAGAAGCGGACTCAGATGTCTTCTATATTCAACGCCACCGGGAGTGTCAGAGGCGGAGCTCTGTGGTTTCCTCCGCTGGCCCCTACTTCACTATAGGAAACAGGGACTGGAGGAAGGAGCCACAGAGCACAGCGGTGTACGCAACATTCGACACACTGGAAATCTTCTGGACTCTGATGATATTTCTGCAAGCTTCTTTCTTCAGCCGAGATAAGTTTTATAGAGCAGGCAGCGTGATAGGTAAACATTCATTGCTTGCATTGTGGGAAGCACTGCTCTCTACTCTTTAAAAATGGCAACAGAGTCACCTTAATAAAATCTCTGGAGTTTTTTTTTTCCTTTGGTGTGGCTGCAGTTCTATCTGAGACAAGGTCATACATTGAGGATCAAAGTCTTGGAGACTATATTCTAAAGCTGCAAAGTGATGCATTTTAAATACAAAGGGACAGAGATGAGGTCAGTCTACAAGGACACTTCAAAACACTGTGTACATAGCACTTTACTATATTCGGAGTCTCTGGGGCATTCACAAGGAAATCAATGTTTCTAACTTGTGTTTGATGTCTCCAGGAAGATCAATGAACCCTATTTGCACTTAGGAGTGCACAGACCACTCATGTTCAGGAGTCTACAGGACTATATAATGCATTCAAATGGCATAATGTGTCTTTTATCTTGCTCTGCGCCAGGCTGTGGTGGGCCTGCAGTCAGGGAACCCTGGCAGAGCACACAATAATTGTACAGACATGTTGAATGTCACTCTAGAGCCCAGGCCCAGATCCACCTGTCAGTTTTTTTTAAATGGGATGCCTAATGCTAGTCTATGGGCAGTCGGATCTAAATGGGTGAGCACCCGTTTACCCCCGGCTCTTGCCAGGTCCAGGAAAACAAACGGAACAGTGTTTTGTTTTCCCGGACCTGAATGTGCCAGACCGGGCGTAATCTGATGTAAAGCAGGGGTAGCCAAACTCTGGTCCTCCAGCTGTCCCTAATGGGGAGAATTACCTTCACTATTTGTCCTGGGAACTGTTGTCACTGGCTTAAAAAGTTAAGGGGAATCCAAAATGTTATGGTTGTCACTTGCACTGGGATGAAGGAGTATATTCCAAAGTGGACAGTTGTTTCAGTGTGGGATTTATCCTTTACTTTTGGGAGATATTCACTTCCTATACCATCCACTTTTGTGTCTCTGGGGACAGGAAGACGAGGTAAATCCCCTGATGGGGCACAGACAACAGTAAAAACCTAAACCCTCCCCACTCTATCCAAAACTACTAAAACACTTTACTTGGAGTTACACTTTATGATCCATTGAAACCCATCTGTTACAGCAGGGATGGCCAAACTGCGGCCCTCCAGCTGTGGTGGAACTACGAATCCCATGAGGCTTTGCAAGATTCTCACAGACATGACTCGCGGAGAGAGATGCTTAATGGGATTTGTTGTTTCAGCACAGCTGGAGTGCCGGAGTTTGGCCATCCCTGTGTTACAGGGTCCATTAAATGCATGAGCCTTAAAGGAGAACTATGAGGCGAGTGATTTTCACTCAACCTCATAGTTAGAGCCGACGTATGACATTGAAACTGTCACACATCGGCTCAATAGATCGGGAAGTGAGCAAACACATACCGTCGCTCGCTCACTTTCCGATCATCTCCCTGCAGAGAGCAGTATTGTCAGTAACCGCTCCCTGCAGGGATTACACCCTTCCCCTCTCTGGGGGAGGAACAGATGGGAGGGGGTGGGCACAGCTGGCTCTAGATAGGCAGAGCCCGCTGTCAATCAGCCAGCTGGGTGGATCTCGACAGTATTGTCAGGATCCATTCCGGCTGCGTCATCTCAGTATATAGCGAGCTATAGCACGCTATAGACTGAGCTTTAGGTCACGGGAGGTGGTTACTATATGTCCTCCCGTGACACTAAAGAGAACTATGGGATAAAAAGGTTACCCCATAGTTCTCTTTTAAGTTGAGCTGCCAACACACCAAAATGAACAAAAGAAAAATAGGACGTCCAGCATTTTTTCCTATGCAGTGCAGCACAACAATGACTCGTGCTTTACTATTCACTGCCATTGCTTGTGGGGCACTGCTACACATGTGCATCTTAGTGCGTTGCGGTGCCTTTGAAAATGAATGGTACCACAAAGATACATTATGCCAACGTGCCCATTACCGCAATTGACTTTACTGACAGCTCAGACCGCACCAAGCTAACCCGCTCTGGTTGAATTATAAAGAAGAAGTTCAGCCAACTCTGTTGTAACCGTTATTTACACAGATATTCACATATATTTAAAAAACAGAACATTAAATTACATCTCGTTATCTATACATAGATGATCTGTACATTCTTAGTAGTTAGCAGGAATAGAATCTTAGCCAGGTCTGTGAGGGAAGGAGTGGAAGTAAACTATGGGGGGCGGGGGGATGATTTAAGTGCTTTGTTTCCCACCTATCTGGTAGTCTGGGATAAACGGTCAGTCCACCCAAAACTGATCATTCTTTGGCAGATGCTGAAGAATGAAATGAAACGTTGCTATTGGTGACTTCTGAATATACTGTCATACACTTCAGTTCAGTACCTTCTGAGTCACTGGCCTGGAACAATACACAGATTCCTCACTCCGACCCAACTTGGTGCATGTTTGTTCTGAGAGTCTCAGGAAGTTATGAACATCCCCTCAGTACTTCAGAATGTTGGAATCTACCATCACCTGACATATCAGTTTTGGCTGGACTGGCTGTGTGATTTGTACTGACATCATAAAGATTGTCTTAACAATAATTGGTGTTCATTTAAACTGCTAGATTGATAGAATTGTTCTCACTTCAATGAATGAATACTGGCCAAACACACATTATGCAGACATCCCAACCTGCAAAACCTTATTTCAGGGAGGTTCCCGTCTCATTTCAGGGAGGTGCCCTTTCTGTTTTGTTTTTTGTTTTTTTACAGCGGCCGTCGTCAGAATATAAAATAAATTATATATATATATACATCATATATATATATTTATCATTATCTCTATGAACGCTGAGGAGTAAAGTCCCTGATACACAGTTGATTAGTTGCTATGGGCAGCAAATGAAATATATGCATGTCCTACTGAAAGTGACATTTTTCTTAAAGTAAGCCTGTCAATAACAGGAGCAATTAAGACACAAACAGAGGTCACCTTCAGTGAAATCCGCATGTAAAAATGATGAGTAGATCCGCACATATAGGCAGCTGAATTTATCTGGCAACCTTGACTAGTATATTTTTTTTAACCTTTGAAAGTGAAGCTATCCCCGCCTTCCACTGCCTCCCTATTGACCGCTTACATTTTTGGGAGGTCCCATTGACAAATAAGGGGGCTCTGGGGGCAACGGTGGGACTTTTACAGGACAGGTCAAAATTTCCTCTGCTTATATATTTTTTATCATATGCTTAGTTTGAACTGCCCAGGGTTATGACAGGTTCACTTGAATAGTGCAATTGTTACATGTGCTTTGTTTGTGTGTTGATGATTGTATGGGAAGGTATGAGAATAATATTTGTGTGGCCAGCTTGCTGGAAATGTCAGACAAGTCACTGTGGATATAGGGATTGTGGAATTCTGATATTTAGAGGTGAATAGGAAACATGGTTATCCTGCCGCTCTACATACGTTCCGCTCTGAATACCATCAATGCCGCGTTACTTCTATCCCTTCCAGGCTTGTCTGACATCACCCGTCGGAGATGTGACATCGCTAGCACTGTGCCTTTAGCATCAAATCTAATAGGGTGATCTCTCCAAAATCCTTACAGCTTCTGGAATCATCATTTCAGCTGTTCTTTGATGTTGACCAAAGCTTACAGTGTTACAGAAAGAGCCATCGGTTTGTTTTTCTCTTCTATGGCTTGATATCTGATTATGGCAGTGGCCATGCATTGCAGGAGTTCTACAATTCTTTAGCTTTTCTAGTGGCTGGAGCAGAAGGCACTTTGGCTGTCACATAATGTCCACAAAAAATTCACAGGGGTTTCCCATGGCCTTCTGAAAGGACTGCCGGCTTCCGGTCAGTTCTGGAGGGATGTTGCTGAGCTCACGGACTGGGGGACCACCCGGTGGACCACTGTTGTTGAATACCTTGCTCCCCATCTTTGGCAGGCTGTACAGCGGAGGTAGACCAGGGGGACCATGAGAGTGGTGGCTGCTATGGTGACTTCGCTCGCTGCATGCCGCTGAGCTGTGGCTTCGGTGGCTGTGCTGGCTCAGTGGCCTTTCGCTCCTTTTTCCTCCGCTACTGGCGGCACGGTCAGACCCGCTACCACTGCCAGTGGACTTGTGGTCTTTCTCTCGACCGGATGATCTCTTTCCCTCTCGGTTGCTGCGACTGGATCCACTGCTTTTGCTGCCTGTGACAGGAAAAGACTCATTATTAGTACAGAACTTAAAGCAAAATGTTTCCTGGTTTTCTTGATATACTGGGAAATTGTCAGAACCTGTGTCAGGTTTTAACTGGTGTCTGTGTCCCAATGTGCTCTAAATGCCTGGCACCCTATGGCTTATGTTATGGACATATCCGTAAAAAAGTAAATCAGATCCAGCCTCGCTGACCCATGTAGCTGCAGGCACCCCGAAGTAATTCATCCTCACAGCAGAAGCACTGAAGTCATTCTCTCCGCAGCTAATCACATCCTGTTTCCCCTCCGAGAGTTCCTGCTCTGTGTTTACATTAGAGCGTAGAAGGCTATTGAGTCTTGGCTGGCAGGGAAGTTTTGAACCTTAATGCTTCTACGGTGAATCTTTCAGGGCAAAATGATAGTGTCTACTACAAACCCACCCTCATCCATGTATACCGACCAATCCACTCTGCATTTTCACCTCCAGCAATCTTGGAACCCTTGCTCGGCTGCTCTATGGTGACCTTCCTTTAAGCCAAATGCCAGCCGGAGCTCTACTTGGGTAAGCTTCAACACCATCAGCTCACTATGCTCCCCATCCCAGCAATGACTCCGCAGTGTTCCAGCCTTCTACTTTCTAATGTAAACACTGAGTAGGAGCTTTGGAAGGGGGAGATGACTTACTAGGAGAATAACTTTGGTTCTTCTGCTGTGACCTTTGAGTATGAATCCACATCAAAGTCAAGGAGAATACAAAGGCAGCTTGATGCAGCTCTTGACCAAAATGTTCCAAATGCATTTCAATTGCAAGCTGAATGCAACTGCAAGCATGCTGCACTTGCCAGACTACATAGAACTACCAACAGTCACATTGTGGTGGTTGCTCCACCTCAAAGTGACACTAAACCCAGGAGCTAAATCTTAAAAATGCATTCAAGCACCTTAACTATTAACAGACATGTATCGTATTTGTGTATGACTCGGCTGTAGATCTTCAAATCATCTCTGAATTGGTGCTGACACTGTCCTTCCTTCTGGAGGGGGGCTACTTGTGTTCCTCATGGTCCCTGTGTGTGTTGTGAAGTAGGCACCTCTCCAAGTTCACTCCTGTGATGGACTACAATCTCAATACAAATTAGTAAACTAATCACAGGAGCGAGCTTGGAGTGGTGACTACTTTACAACACACACAGGGACCATGAGGAACACAAGTAGCCCCCCTCCAGAAGGAAGGACAGTGTCAGCACCAATTCAGAGATGATTTGAGGATCTACATCCGCGTGATACACAAATAAGATACATTTTTGTTAATAGTTAAGGTAATAGAATGTATTTTTAAGATTTAACTCCTGAGTTTAGTGTCACTTTAAGCATTTACTTTACTCAATATTTGCTTGCCTGGACAGAATCACTGACTGGGGTGTAACCAATTCACATGCCATTGTACCCAAGCTTACATAGAAATGGTAGAAGCTTAATGGCCATTAATCTAAAAATAAAATCTATTTAATAAAACTCAGAAAATATGATGTGTCTCCACCGCTCATTTGTTTTCTAATCTACCAATCAAAAGTCTTTTTTTTTTTGCTTAAACAGTCAAATGACAGTCCCTATAACACCTTAACTAGCCATACACTGTTCCATTTTTTTTGTTCAACCTGCGGGCTGAAGGAAAAATTTAGAACATATTCCCATCAACGCTTAAGAGTATTGGTCTAGGAATCTTCCACTGTCTTTGAGTATTGGCTGCCCTCACAATACAATAAACAAATGAGCTGCCGCCTCTGTTTGTATGAAGATTTTCCGACCGGCTCCTTCGATCAGCTGATCAAAGTCTGTTAGCCGAAAGAGGGCCAACAGAGGCAGAAATCAGTAGCACATGACCTCAGGGCTAGATCAAAACTTCAGAAGGCCAAGGACCAAACCTATGGTATTTATGTTCCAAAGTCAAACACACCACAATTTTCTCAGTCCAGAAACAGCCACATCTATATAATAAATGTGGTGTCACATATATTATATAAGAGAACACTGACTGCAAGAGATACATGCACGAAAGACACATGAAGCTAAGGCAAAGCAGGACATGCGTGGTCATGCAATTTCCCCAGGGCCATATGTACTGTCATATATATGAGTAAATATCCCCTAAACTGCACTGTTAATCACTGCTAGCTATGGCCGGAGGTGAAGCCTTCGCTATCACACTGACATGGTTAATGCATAGTAAATGCTGGGATGCTTCTGAATATGATATAGAAGTTCCAAGCACTGTGCTCATTACCTGTGTTGCAGTGCATAGGACATGGGCAATGTATGGGCAATCAGCCATGCTTGTCTAATAAACTGCAGACCACTGCGATCAGTCATTCAGACCTGCAAGGATTGCAGTTGGTTGCAAAGCTTTTCACAATCACAGTCAACTGGAATCCTTCCAGAAAAGTGAACGGGTGCAGTTTTCAGTAGCTGGTTGTGCGACCACAAAGTGTCCTTGTAGTTTGGACTTTATACCCTTTTATAAGACAACAGCCCAGGGGTAGGCAACCCTGGCATTTCAGCTGTGCTGAAACAACAAATCCCGTCGTACGTCATGCCTGTGACTGTCAGAGCCTTGCAATGCCTCATGGGACTTGCAGTTCCTCAACAGCTGGAGAGCCAAGGTTGCCTACCCTTGTGCTAGACCGTTATTAAAAAGACCTGATACAAATCAGAAGCCTCAAACAGAAGCTGACCTTCTCAAACTCCTGGCTTGTTTTCTGTTTTTTTCTGCTAATTTACAGTAAAGCGGAATCATTTCTGCTTTACTGCCTTCCAACTATGGTCTGAGAGGAGGGGAATGGAAGCTTCCATCTCCCATTCTCCTTACCTGTACTTTGCTTTAAAGGAAACCTGTACTGAGAGAATTATGCACTCTACCCCTGCTGGACCATAGAAATACTAGTCACCTGGCTGTCTCCAACTTCAATACTTTTAGGTAGGGATGCACAGATACTTTTCGAGTACCAGTTCCGATACTTGGCATTTTCATGAGAACTATCAGGGTTGCAGCTGGGACCTGGCTCTGGTGCTCCACCACTGTCCTGAAATCATTAGTCTGTATTGTATTAGAAAAACTGTCACATGACAATAAACAAAAATGTATCAGTACTCGTACTTGTAAGTACTCGGCGAGTACCAGTACTCGTACTCGCAAAACTGGTATCTGTGCATCCCTTTATTTATATGTATAAAAACAAAATCATTCATTAAAACAGAGATGTACAAATCCCAGGAGCTCCGTATGCTCCTTACAAATGACAGCTGCCTCCTAATTTTTGAATTTTTCTCTAGTCTTGGAGCTCAAAAGTATCAGTACATGTACTCGCACCGTGTACTGTACTTGGTATCTGTGCAACCCTACTTTTAGGGGTCGCTCACTTGGAATAAGCAGGTAGCAAGTGAAGTTTGAGCTGCATAAATGTTCCAGGTTAGTGACTGAATCCACTGGATCAGAATGACATCCAGCCACCAGGGGAGACCAGCAGGGGTAGCAATGTTTTTCTCAGTATAGGCTTCCGCATGTTGAGTTTTTCATGTGCTAACCCTTCTGTGATCCACAATAGGTTCTTTGTATCCAGAAGCTACCAATGCTTGTTTCTTTCCTTTCATTTTCATAACTTGCACTAGAAAAATAATACAGGGAACATGATTGGTTGCAACACTTGCTGACTGTCTACTACTTTTTAGAAACCATGCTATTTTCTCCATTTGATGAGAAAAGTTGCTGAGTTAAAAAAAAACCATCACTACAGAAGTGGGGCAAACGTATTTTTAATTTTTAGATGGATTTTTAATACCTGAAACCCTATAGATCAGGGGTAGGCAACCTCGGCACTCCAGGTGTTATGCAACTACAAATCCCATTAGGCATTACAAGGATCTGACAGCCACAGGCATGACGCCTAGAGGCAGTGGGATGATGGTATTTGTAGTTTTAGCACAGCTGGGGTGCCAAGGTTGCCTACCCCTGCTATAAATCAATAAATAATGACCAAAAAAACAAAACACAATAGAATTACAAATGGCCACTAGGCGGAGACATAGCTCACTATATTGTGTCCTAGCAGATGACCATATTCCTCTACATACTGTTGTCTACTGGAAGGAGCGTGTACCACCACTCGGAGAAAGAGGAGATCTTTAATGACGTGACCATGTTCTTCCTACAGTAAAACGTTCCATACCTACTGACACTGCCCCACCCGCCACACAACATGAGAAGCAGCACGGCAGACTCGATTATGGGCGTGCATTGAGCAATGAGCCCTCACATGGTTCTCCTGCTACCCAGTGGACTGCTGAAGGGAGGCTGGGAATGGTCTAGGTGGGTGAAGGAAGGGCCACAAGGATCCAAATGGACATGCTTGGGCTCTGGTCTTTGGGCCAGAGATTTAAGCTTACCGAATGACCTAGATTCCTCCATTCCTTCCATGCATCCTTCAGTCTAATGCTTGTTCAGCACAAAACAAGGGAATAACACAGTTACTAACAGTGAGGCATACAGCAAGGGATAAAGGAGCAGGTTACTGTACTGAATTATAGAAGAAAGCACATGACTGCAAATCCGTAGCTGCCTACACATTTCCATAATCTTAGAGCTGTACTACTAAAGAAGATCTACAATAACATGCTAATTTAAGAAGGCAAAGAGCCTTGTGTAAAGGGCAGTAACCCCCAGCAACCAATCGCTGAACATCCTTTATTGACTAAGGACGTGTCAGATATGGCTGCTATTGGTCAATGTCCTTTACACCAATTCATTTGTAGTTCTTTACACTGCTTTCTCATATATAACCCTATACATATATTGTATGTGAACAACTGATCAGTGTTTTGTCCGAACTGGCTACATATGCTGCTTCGATTTTTTTTTTTTTTTGCAACATCTTCAATAGCGCTTTTGATGGCCTTAATCCATCTAGTGTTAAAAGCCCCGTTTGTAGTGCGGAATGTACACTGCTACACCTGGAGGCAGCACTGTACCATCAGGAGTTCCATGAGTAGACATGAAGAGAATGCTTGTTCTATTCACACACAGGTTGAGAAATGATGGCTAAGCTGAAGTCTCTGCTCGTGGAGTGGCAGTCATGCAAGCACATAGGACACATAAAAAAAAAAAGAAAGCATGAAAGGCAGGCAATGAGAAGAGGGGGGTACTGGAGAGACCTGTTCTACTTACCTTCACTGTGCTGGCTTCCCGCACTGCCACTGCCATAGCTGAATCCTGGCTCTTGGTATGTTGAAGGGTAACAAGGTGGCGCTAGAGGGTACTGGTACGGATAGCCCTGGCTTAGGGGCCAGGGGGCGGCGGAATGAGGGAGAGGAGCAAGTGTGTCCTGATCAGATGTCCCACTGGATCCATCGTTAAGATTCAGTGCCGCTACATCTGATGAGCAAATACAAAGGACTTGTGTCAGTTATATCATGGAGAATAATGTTACAGTTACCGTTCAGAGTGTTCCTGGCTGCCATTTTGGTTGGCAGAAGCAATAGTCAGGACTAAACATGAGACATTAACAGTGCTAAAGAACAAGGTTGTACTACCTGTAAATATGGAAAATGTTTACAAATGACACACTGCATTGAATGATGACAAGTGAACCGTTGACTGTAACATATCCATTAGTGTAACTGCATATTTCCTGGTCTTCATTTCCTCATGAGAATTGGTATTCATCTGATAATCGGGTAGCAGAACAGCTTTGATTAACAAGCAAGTCTAATGGACTCCTGATGCAGGATACGCAGTAGGCTTAAAATGGCTGACAACAAAGGCTGAACAATGTATACAGTGACCTTACAATGCATACAGTGACCTTACAATGCATACAGTGACCTTACAATGCATACAGTGACCTTACATAAATGGGTAATTATATGCAACAGGATGAGATGGAAAATGGACATATGGTAAATATTGTATGCAGCCAATATGAAATGGATTTCACCCTTAATTAGCCATTAAAGTGCAACTCCAGGCAAGCAGCTAAATCAAAGTCTGACATACATATACATTTCCTATTGTGCCTGTCAATAGGTTGGTAAATTTGGTGGACCCTTTGTGTAATATACACTCTGCTACGTCCCTGTTTACATTACAGCTTACCAGGTCAGCTCCCTGCTCACTAGAGAGAGGTGAAAGTGCTGATCAGCCGATCCTCTCTTTAATGAGGAGGCTGGACGGGTAACATAACGAGTTCCTGGATCAGAAAGAAGAACTGCACAATCAGGAACTATGTGTTTCACTTTTCTGGCTATGCAACTTAGAATCTGTGCATAAAGAAGAACTCTGGGCAGTTTTTTATTATTGGGCTACCTACCGCAGTGCAATGGTTAACTGCTCGTTTTGGTCTAGGGTGGAAAATAAAAAGATGTACTCACTCGATCCTCTGAGCCGGCTTGCTCTTAGACCGGTCTCTGGAATATCTCTCCCCCTGAGGTCCCTGAGTCATCACATTCTATACACAGTGTATAGGACGTGAGGGTGCCAAGGGACATACAATTTCTGGAGTGAAGGAGACAGGCTGGAGGAAGAGCTGTCAAAACCTGTCAGCTCGGAGGATCAGGTGAGTAAATTTTTGATACTTTCCTCCCTAGACCAAACGTTGCAGTAAATTCTTACAGTGCGGAGGTAGCCCAGTAATAAAAACACTTTGGCAGGTAAATTATATGTATATCAACTGTGTATCAGGTGGCTTATCTGGAGTTTTACTTTCAGTCCACCAAAAACTCTTGTATGGATACTGCTTTGTGCGATCACATACAGTAGTTCAAAAAGTTTGATGTTTTGGGAGGTTATTTACCCCTATGGTGGGTTCCAACATCCCTTGTAGGTTACAACACATAGAAAATCAGCCTGTATGGGACTTTAACATACCTTGTATATATAAAATCAGATGGTGTATATTTTTAACACATACAATGTGGATTTGAGCGCAGACATCTTTCCTTTTCTATTGCATAATGCAAGTCAGAGACCTGAGTGTGCAGCTCTCCTCCAACTGTACCTGTCTGCCCCATATTGGCATTATATGTCCATTTAGGTATGCTATAAGCAATTGACTATTATGCATCTTGCACAGTGGTGTAGTCAGGGCCGGATTTACTCTCTCTCTGCTGCCCCAAGACCAGGTTCCTGAATGCGCCCCTCTACCCGCCAATAGGGCCCCCCCATGGAGAACGGCAGACCTGCAGGCTGCATGCAAAACAAGCGGCAGCTTCCCCGCTGTGGAATTTAGCTCTGCTTCCCCAAAGCAGGGCTAAATGTAAAAAACAACTACCCGCCCGACGCCCGGAACTACATGTCCCAGGCATCGGGAGATAGGAATTCCATACCCCTGCTGCCCTGAGACCGGGCCTTGGTTTCCCTTGTGGGAAATCCGGCTTTGGGTGTAGTGATTCTATACGGGCCTTTCTGCTGCACTCTAGCCATCAGGCATATAAGTAGGGATGCACAGATACTTTTCAAGTACCAGTGCAGATACTTGGCATTTTCATGAGAACTACCAGGGTTACAGCGGTTGCAGCTGGGACTTGGCTCTGGCGCTCCACCACTGTCCTGAAATCATTAGTCTGTATTGTTTTAGAAAAACTGTCACATGACATTAAACAAAAATATATCAGTACTCGTACTTGTAAGTACTCGGCAAGTAGCAGTACTCGTACTCGCAAAACTGGTATCTGTGCATCCCTTTATTTATATTTATAAAAACAAAATCATACATTAAAACAGAGATGTACAAATCCCAGGAGCTCCGTGTGCTCCTTACAAATGACAGCTGCCTCCTAACTTTTGAATTTTTCTCTAGTGTAGTCTTGGAGCTCAAAAGTATCGGTACTTGTACTGGTACTGGTACAGAGTACAGTACTTGGTATCTGTGCAACCCTAGATATAAGGAAGTACAATATCTTGTGGTTTGCTGTTGGATTAGCAGCCTCACCTACATCTAATTCGCACACCTCAGCACAAAAGACTATATGACCTTTCTATTGGAATCATTGCCGATGATGATGAGTGATCAATATACAGGTGAAATGCCTGGGGTGTCTCATGCCCCACCTTTGCCTTGTGGATATGCCTCCTGGTCTAGGACACACGGGAGTGCTCACTCAGAGATGGCACAGTTGATGGTGTTTTAAGTTTGCTTTTATGAACGATCCTCCAAGTTTTTCAGAAGAAGTCCATGACACACATTGAGAAACCAAAACAGCTTTAAATCCTCTGATTAAAAAACTTTCTTACACGTGTAATATCCATGTATGATTTTTCGCTGTGCCTCTGGGGGAGATGATATTGACTATACTACAGGAATCTGCATCAGTTGTTTTATCATTTTTAAGTATCATGAATCATAATAAAAGATGTTTTAAAAAGATACACTATCCAATATTATACAGTATATACAAGGTACCTTAAAGGGTCCCATATAGGCCCATTTTCTATGTGTTATAATTACATACAAAATCCTTAAAAGGATCCAGGATACAAGATGTATTACCTTTACCTAGATATCCCCATTCTACCAGTACCATATGCATATGCCCATTCCACCAGTGCCATATGCATATGTACAGAAGGCAGAGCAAAGGCTGGATTGTCCAAACTGCTCAGTATAAGCTAACAAGACAACATGTTCCTTATGTAGTTTGCGTGAAAGGCTGAGTGATTTTAAGAATAAGTGAATGACCCAATAGGCGTCTGTGAAGAAATAAATACATGTCCCGGTACATCTCCTGCCTTTGCTGAAGAAGGCTCACAATGTGAGTAGGAGGGGAGTCTTCATTTCTGCACTGCCTTAGATAATAGAATGTGGTCATTATGTTTTTGGTGTCATCAGCCCAAGTCATAAATCATTTAACAGATTTCACTGCCGCACTTCAAAAGGCAGAACTGAATCCTCCCAAAGGATCAAGCTGCTCAACCATCAGAGCTACCTCCTAGGATAAAACCACAAGGGTTATAGAGGGTGCAGCTGCTTATGGGCCCACGAGATCAGGAGGTCTAACTAGGATTGTATACCTTTAGTTATTTTTTTGCTTGCCATGTAAGGTGGACCCCATTTTTTTTGAGCTAGACCTCCAATTTCCTCTGTGTGCATTCATTAGCTCTTTAAACATTAATTATTTTATGCCCAGATCACACGGCTCCTTTTCTGCTCTCCTCAAAGGTCCTCACAGATATAACCAGGCAGATACTATGGGATACTTAAAGGAGTGATAACCTGTCATAATCTCTATCAATCAATTTTGCATCTACATTTTCATGATACATTTTACCATACCACAAGGGGTATGCATGTGATATTTGCATTGATAATATGAAATAATGCCTATTGTGGATTGGCTGATGTGATAGTTTTACATAGATGATGAAAATAATACACAGTTAAGCACACAATACTTGCTAATACAAGCTTTTGTGAATTGACCCCCGTGACCCCTAGCACTGTGGCACCACACCACTACCTGCAGTGATGTCAGAAATATTTCCGTACCACAGAAAAAATTATTTATATGCAAAAAAGCGAATATATGAAGTCTAAGTAGCAGTGTTGCCATACCAATCATATTCTAGAGTCCTGGCAATGACCTGACTGGTTGCCATTTGCAATAGTTCTATTTTCCCTCTGCTCCAGTTCTCATAGTGTCAGGTCACGGATTTGGGGTCAGTGACCACGGTCCATTTCCTAAAAGTCTTTTCTACAGGATAACACAGGCTGCACATGTGATACTCACTTCCACACAGGTCTCCAAACACATAGTAGCACTGCTCAGAGAAGGTGATCTTGTTTACTGTGTGTCTGAGGTAGCCGTGCTTTAACATGCTGCTGGCATATTTTCTGGCCTCCCGACGCTCCTTGAAACCTTCTACGTGTGTGTAGAGCCAGTCCACAACATCGGCCCCTAAGAAGACAAAAAAACATTATTTGTTAGTCCGTTAGCTAGATAATAGTGCTCTAGGAATTATTTGTAATGTAATGCAAAAAAACACATAACTTTAAAAACCCCACTAAAATAACTGACACAAAACCTTTATACGTTTCCTTTGAAAGGAACGCAGGCAGTATTAATAAACATCCTTCCCCATTTATACAAAACTAAAAGAAATAGAACCGAGCTGGAGGTGGACATTAATGACCTATATTTCAGAATATTTGGCTGGTGCTGTTCTATTGAAGTAAAGGGGCATTACTGAAGGTGCTGGGACCACAATAGTGCCATATAGAGAGCGGATTCATTAGCGATCTCCTGCGCATGTAACAATAGTTAAGCCTTTGCAGACAATGCCGTGGACACACTATGAGAATGTCTATAGAAGTGGATGTTTTTTACGCTTGTGCTCTATAATTCACAGACAGCACAGACCTCACACAATGACAAATAGGCACATATGTACAGCTGTGTCACTCTTTGTATGCAAGTGAAAAAAGATCTGTGTATGTAACTGATACAGGCCAACCTTCAGCCTCTATTAACTTGCCACTATCTTTCCGGAGTTTGACTTTAATTACTGTTCGTCACACTTGTTTAATCTCTGACCCTGCAGATAATGCAAAATAGTCAGAGAGAATAAGTATTTCAACCCAAATACTAGTCAACTCAACCGTTGCCAGAACAGCCATATAAAACCAGACACCTATGATAGAGTCATGAACCACCCTGGCAGATACTAGGAAGTGCATGACTGATCCTAAAATGTACTAACCTGTGAGTGAATGAAAGTTCAAAGAATACTTTTCTCAAACTGAGTGCAAGTGAATAAACAATGAGAACTTACACCGCCTGGCCAAAAAAAAGTAACCACCTGGGCTTATCTAATTAAATAGAAAAGAGCCTTCCAAGTATTACGACCTGGGGTTGCTTCAGTTGGTCAGGTATATGACAGCCGCTCCTTGCTGTCCTGTCCTGGATCCGTTCCTTTTCGGCCGGAGCTCTGCAGTTCTGAGCTCCGTTCTCTGCAGTAAGGTCTGCAGACCCTACTAATCCATCCTTGCGAACGGGGCTCAGGACTGTCAGAGCTCCGGTGATCGATCGAAAGTAACGGAGCCAGGACAGGACAGCAAGGAGCGGCTGCTCTCATAGTCAGGTACGCGATCCGTGACCGCGTGCCTGACTGAATTTCCACTCGCCCTCTCTTTATTTCCACTCGCCAAATGCGAGCGGGCGAGTGGAAATTTTGAGCCCTGTGCTCAGCAACATAATGTCCCCATAAAATGAGGTCAGCTACCAACCTGAATATACTGAATGACCAGGTTTTTCCATCAATGGATTCTTTCTTCCCTGATGGCACATTGGGCATATTCCAAGATGACAATGCCAGGATTCATCGGGCTCAAGGTGTAAAAAAAAGTGGTTCACGGAGCATGAGACATCATTGTCACACATGGATTGGCCACCACAGAGTCCAAACCTTAACCCCATTGAGAATCTTTGGGATGTGCTGGAGAAAACTTTACACAGCAGTCTGACTCTGCCATCATCACTACAAGATCTTGGTGAAAAATTAATGCAACTCTGGACAGAAATAAATGTTGTGACATTGTATAAGCTTATGGAAACTATGCCTAGGCCTTCCAACAACATATTAGAGTGTGTGACTGTTTTTGGCCAGACAGTGTATTTTGCAATCAATTATGTAAGAACCTAAAGCTGGCCATACACTGTTCTAAGCTTCTCCCCATCCCACACTTAACAAAAGTCGATTTTTGTCGAAGGAGCTGGTCTAAAAATTCTCATCTGTAAAGTATCTGCATCCAAATAGATGCAGGCAGCATTTGGGTATTCAGCAGCCGCTGGAGCAGAGGCTGCTGAATACACTAGCCATTCAGTGGGGTTTCCTTCGTCAATGCTGTTTAGCAGGCTGAAGCAGAGAAATTCATAGAGTGTATTGCCAGCTTTTGACTGACTGGTTATTATTTCTGATCAAGCTTTTTTGAAAATGAGCAGATTAGCCTGTGCACGTTGAAAGTAATATATACTGTAAAATATGTAAAAATGTGTTCTACCGCAAGTGTTTCTATCCGACTTAGTAGATTGTTAAAAAAAGAAAAAAGCTGGAAGTAATTCTAAATGTACAGAATATCATTTATTTACAAGAAATAAAACTAGGTCAGGACGCCTGATATGTCGATGCAAATTTCAGATTACAGTGTAACTGCACTGGGAGGGGGGCTGGGGATGGGTTGAAAAAGAAGAAGCCAGTTTAGAACTGAAAGCCAATATTGCTATTTGCTCTTTATTATACTAAACACTATTACTCAATACCGCAACCTGCATTTTGTTGACCATTCATAAAATGCAGGCAGCAGTATTGAGCCGGTGGTACTTCATGGTGATTTGAGAAAAGTCTTTTTTTTTTTATCTGAGCTTTATTGCCTATTATAATACAAGCAATAAAATACACAACAATACACAGTAAAAGGACAGTAAAAGGGAGCAGAGCACCGGCACCATTGCAAGTGGGATATTACATGATAGTGGCAGATACAGTTTGGATTACAACAACAGTCACTTGCAATGCTATAAAATTAAGCCACTGTGTATCATTGTGGACCGCGTATCGCAGTGTCAGATGAACATCCTGTGTGGAACAGTGCTAGATCTGAGGGACGCGTTTTTGACCAGGCACTTTTTCCAGCTTTTTTTTTTTACAAATCCCTCCCTGTGGTCTTCCGAAGCCAGTGGAGTGCAATGCACGAGTGTAAAGCACATCACTGTACTTTATGAATGTTTGGAGATCTTTTTATTTATTGTACTTCTAAGCAGGGGCGTCCCAAAGCCGGGTGACACCCGGAGCGGTTACCGGGTGACACCCCGATGTGAGGTCACCGCGCTTGCGCAGGGATCTTATTGATGGGATCTTATTGATGTCAGATGAACATCCTGTGTGGAACAGTGCTAGATCTGAGGGACGCGTTTTTGACCAGGCACTTTTTCCAGCTTTTTTTTTTTACAAATCCCTCCCTGTGGTCTTCCGAAGCCAGTGGAGTGCAATGCACGAGTGTAAAGCACATCACTGTACTTTATGAATGTTTGGAGATCTTTTTATTTATTGTACTTCTAAGCAGGGGCGTCCCAAAGCCGGGTGACACCCGGAGCGGTTACCGGGTGACACCCCGCTGTGAGGTCACCGCGCTTGCGCAGGGATCTTATTGATGCCTGCCGGCGGCCATGTCTTGGTGATGGTAGCCGGCAGAGAGAGGGGGGGACAGTCAGCCGGCGGGATAAGGTATGCCGCCAGGTCCCCTCCTCTCTGCCGAAACTGTTGGGCTCTTGGTCCATGACGAGTGCCCGACTTTTCAGAGGGGGGTGACACCAAAATGACTGTCAGCAATTTTGGTGTCACCCTTCCATTGGTGTCACCCGGGTGCGGGCTGCACCCCCCTTGTGACGCCACTGCTTCTAAGTGTAAATGCACTAAATAGTCAGCTAAAATTCGAATGAATCACAAAGTATATATAAAAAAAGGATGAAAATGGCAACCCTGGAACTTGCACATTAATAACAGATCAGCTCCAACATTTCTGCCCTGACTGGATTTTTGTTAAAGCCTGTATGACAGGAAGAATGATTTCTAGTGATCTGGAACCCATGATTAGTCAGGTTTGCATTTATAGCTCAGCATGGCAATGTTCACACAACAATGTTCAGATCTCAATGTTCTATAAGCCCCCAAACAGCTAGAAAAAAATAAAAACAAAGAAAATGTGAAGTACATTTTAATACAAATGAAACCCATAATCTGGCTTTATGATAATAATTGTATAGCAGAAAGGCAAACTTACCGATGACCGCATTGGATATCGTAATTTTTAACCACATTCGGTCCCTTATTTCCAGACCTGAATCTGGCAGTTGCATCAACTTCACAATTGTGGCCATGTCACTCTTTACTGTCAGGGGAGAATCTTCCAGTTCTGCAAATATTGGGAATACAAAATACCTTCATTTCAGATCTTACTTTCTACTGCGAGTAATGAAAGGGGAAATTCTAAAGGAAATCTAACCAATCAAATTGCAGCGATTATATTTCTGATGCACAACGGAAAATGAACATTTGGCTGGTTGCTGTTAGCGAAACAAGAGTCATAGCATATGGCAACTTTTATGAACATCTGTAGATGTTTAAGAGATAATATTTCATTACATTAATGCGGATATTGCACTCAGCGAAATGGTGCAACTCCACCTGGGACAAGCTTGGATGGTGCCTGAACTCTCACTTCTGCTGCTTATCAGTGAGCAGATCACTATGAGTTGGAATCAATGGAAGTCTCTAAATGCATGTGGCTAGTGATGTAAAAGCAAGGGTAGCTGAGGTTAGGGTTCCAACTGGAGCCCTGCTTTTAGCAGGCCCACAGGGAATACCTAGCCATATCCATATGTCCTTTTTAATGTCATTATCTTGGGTAAGTATGTGGCTAACTAATTTCTCCTGGAAAAGGGACATATCGCAAAAGGTGGAATGTTTTAAAAGGAATGTGCGGTTAGCTGAGGAGGAGGGGTTGTTATAGGCTTGAGGGTTTTAGGTAAGGGAGGTAATAGGGTGGGCATGTTATCTGCAGAAAGGGTTATAGGGGTTGATAAAACTGAAGCAGATGGTATTGGGCTGAATTCTAGGCACCACGGCTTAAACTTGAACCAGGGCCCAGGTGTGCTAAACCTGTGACCAAAATGCACAAGATTTTAATGTACAGGCATTGTGTGCATTACGGCCAGAGTGATGGCAAACTGGAAGAACCCAAATAATTATTTATTTGCCACCCATCACAAACCCAAACACACTTTAATAGATCCAACTCAAAGAGCTCCAACCCCAAGGGTAAAATGAATCTCTAGTAACACTAACCTTCTCCCTAATGTGTCCTAAAAGATTTTTTCTACAGTTCCAAGTACTATTTCTCCCAGCCATGGTTTATATGAACTTGGTAACTCTCTCCTAGTTAGGTTCTAGCTTTTATGCTTCCAGTGTAGTATGCGTGCCAACCAACGTTTTCAAATATAAAGAGGGACAACCTTTAACATCAAATTCTCAAGCAAAATATGGACACCCAGCTACAAAACATGTGGATTCTTCACTCATAACTGTAAAGGATCAGAAGAATTACACGGGGACCGCTGTCACCATGGTGGATCCTGATGTTGGAATTCTGTCACAACGGCCTGGTATCTTCCTACCCCTTTTTTTTCAGGGAGATATCTGTCCAACTATGGCCAACCTAAATATTTATTTGTTTCCTATGCAGACTGCTGTTGTGCATCAGTGACATGTTTGTCTAACCGCACATACTGCCAAACAGGGTTTTAAGTAAGCACGTAAAAAAATAATGACATCTGTACAGCAACTTATTTCATAAAAATCTGCCTCAAGCAATAAAATGAGCAAAGGCGTGGGCTACACAAAGCAATCAGAGCGAGCAATGGCTGAGCCAGATTAACAATGCCACCAGACATACAATACCAGATTGTACTCATAATTGGTCTGCTGCTAACAGGAAATACAATACGACATCACCTCCCTCTGCCTTCAGGCCGATGGCTTGAAGTTGACACAATAGACAGAAGGGTCTTCTTCAGGAAAGTGAACAAACTGCAGGGATTTGTTACCTGACTCCCACTGAAAGCTCATCCAATAGATTGGACTGATCAGTAACAAATTTGCATTCTTCAGTATTTTTTTAATCTTCCTTCCTTCTCTGTTAAATGCTATTATTACATGTAACTATTATTGTTCTCAGCTCTGTTCCCGAAGACGTGGTTTTCCATGTTTTGACCAATACATAAAAGTATAAATGACCCAGTAATTGCAAGAGATGGGAAACATTGCTTGCTTGGCTAAGCCACGTACCCGATCTGTTATATAAACTTCTAAAACTGTAATAGCAACCAATCGAATGATCCTTTACAACAAACTCCCCACTGTCCTTCTTTTCAAGGGACAGTCCCTCTTCTGGACCCAAATCTTCTGTCCCTCTTTTTTCCACAGTTGTCTGACTGTGGGGTCTGATCTATGGCTGTGTGTCAAAAGAAGTTCTCATTACTAAGAAATGTTTGTATTGTTCTTAGCTTTACTACCTTCTCTACTGTTGTTCACTATTTTATGTAGCTGTAAAATCATGATTAATTTTGAAGTATTGATGAATGAATGTGTGCGGTGATGTGTGTCATTTGCCTGAGGGTGTCCCTCTTTCGATCTCAGAAGGTTGCTGGGCATGCATCCATGTTCACACACTGCACTGTAAATATAAAAGGTAAAGTTTGAATTGGTTGGCATGTTTATGTTGGAGCTAGCAGGGAGCATGAGCTTTGCTTACTGCAGAGCTACAGGTCTGACTCAATAGGGGTGTGTCCGACCTCCGTAGAAAGACCTCTGGTTCCTCACAGACAGCAAGGGTCTGCTGCATGCTGACAATGGACAGGCTTTTCTACTTAGGCTGTGGCTGCTTCTTAAAGAAGATTAACTGTAAAGCTGGCCATACATTATGTAAATTTCAGTAAGTTCTTCATGAATCGGTTACATTTCGCACAGTGTGGCACTCTTTCAGCCAGCTTCCCTCAATCAGAAGATCGAAGGAGCAAGTTGGAAATCTTCGAACGAATGGTGATTGCAACCAATAAACTGCAAGGATCGTTCGTGTATTCCAAGAGCAGCCGGCGGCCGCTGTCAGAGTAAAGAGTTTATCGCGCGGGTTGAATTGAAAAAAAAAAAAAAAAGAACACTGTATGGCCAGCTTTAGACTTGGAGCACTTTTGATTGTCATGCACTTTGAAATATATTTAGCTGAATTAAACTCTAAAGTTTAATTGGGTTTTAACAATTGCTGCGATAAGATATCAGCCACACAGAGGGTGCATTGTTTTCAAAGAGTGGTCTGACTCTTAAGCTTGCATTGTGAGATGGAGCAGTAAAGTACAACTATTGTGTAGCACTGTACTGCAGGAAGCCGGACCTGCGTATGTCATTATCAATTAAAAATTAAATGTCAGTAGATGATGCTACACTGTGTCTAGCTATAGTGATAACCTGCAACAAACCTGGAGAGAAACATGCATGAAAATAAGCTTCTATAGAAAGCTATTTGTATGCATCCCTTTCAGCTAACAATGTGCCCACTGAAAGCTCAAGGTTGGAGCTGAGACAGGCTCCCACACACAGACAGACAGACTCATAAGCACACGTCGGCGTTTAACCATAGCAAATACAATTTGTTTTGGTACAGAGGCATATTCTAATACAAACAGAATGGAAGGATGTAGACATACAGCAAATCCCAAAGCACAAACATTTTACAGTATCAGTGAGATCACACCAGCAAAGCAAACAGTTTTACAGTCACTGACCTAAGTAGTAGAACCTGGTTCAATGGGTACCTGAGGTATTTCTGGACAGGGGCTGGATGGAGTGCTACTGCCCTTGAGCCCCCAAAGATGGATGGTGGTGGGTCCCCAAAGTTGTTTATGTTTCCACCTGATGGTGTGGAAATGCAGTGTTTTGACACTGGGCTGGCCTATCTCCTGAACTAATAGCCTTCCAAGACCACTTTGGACTGATACTGGAAAAAGCGATAAGAACTGGAGAGCCACACCAAATTGTTTAATCCAAGCAAAAGATCCATCAGAGTCTTAATTGACAGCCAAGGAGTCTCCCCTTTATCAGGGCTTGAAAAACATATGGAAAAATCTAAGGAATGGACTTAAGGTGTTTAATTCACAGAATGAATAATGTACAGCCTTCAGACACACTTGTCAGCCACTCTTGGTTGCAGCTGTTTGAGCTTTCGACTGGTTTAAACTTATTTTGGGTTTCAACATTCTAGTGCGGAACTGCAGTCCTTACCAAGGCTAGGTACTGTATACCTGTGACCTCTACAGCCACCACTGAATCTATTCTATGGCCTGTGCTCCTCAGGGTTGAAGAGTCTTTTGGAGACACCTGCTGCAATAATATGCAGAGGCTACACTGTGCATGTACGATGTCCCCAATGCAGCCACCAGATGGCACTATTTGCTGTAAATGTATCATTACAGCAAATAGTCTGTAGACATAAAGCTATAATTCTGTGTCTTTATATTGCTATAAAACATATAATAATAAAAAGGGAGAGATCATGACATGAAAGCTTACAGCCAAATAAATATAAAATAGGAGTGGTTTCTTTATGAATTAACTCTTGAAGGAAATCTGTACTAAGAGAAAAACAGAGGCATCCATTGCTGCCCTCCTTCTTAAAAAGCTAGCGCCCTGGCTGTCTCTGGCTTCAATACTTTGAGACACTGAGTCAGAACAAGCATGCAGGTTAGAAAGTTAGTGATCCAAATCCAAGTCAGTCACTCTGAAAGTACCAAAACCAATCAACCGGCCAGGAAATACTAGTATTTTCACAATGGCAGCTTCTCCTCATCCTTAGCACAAGTTCCCTTCCCTCGGTCTTCGGTAAACCACACCTATTGAATTGTCCGGCAGTTTTGCAAAGCATGCTGGGATCTGATATGGCATGGTGGGTAGAAAGCTGTGGTCTGCTTCTCTATACCCTATGCCATTCTGTTCGCTTCTACTCTACTTCATGCAATAGCATCTATGGCATGGCTAGATCTAGCTGGAAGCAGCAAGCAGGGGGGCGTAATGACAGGCGAGTCGGCTTGGCCGGTTAGCAGGATTTTAGTATTGGGTTACACTGCTGCCCCAGTGCAGGATCAATCCTGCGCACAGTGTTGGGGGCTGCAGTGTGACTTACTTTCCGACTCAGGTATAGAGCTTGTTAATGAGGAGCTGGTGCATGTGATGATACTCATGGAGGGGCTCATACCGTAACGGGGGTATGTTCCCGTCAGGGCTGAGGTATGAGTGATCCAGGCAGCCGGGTCTATCGGCCTCACAGGTTCCGCTACAAACAGAACAAAGGAGACAAAAAAAGACGCAGTTATCAAGAGGGAGACAAGAGCAACAAGACACAATTCAAGCGTGTCAAAAGTGTAGAACTACCCACTAAGTGTAAAGTGATAAATGTTCTATAAATACACTACAACTTCCATCAACAGTTTTCCTTATACTTGCCTTTTTCTTTCCTCTGACAGATTTCATCACTTGTCCAGTTTTGTCTTATTTTTAAGTCTGAGTCTATCTTTTTAATTTGTTTTCGAAAGAATCCACACTTAGGTTTCCTGCCTACGTTTTGTGTGTGGTCTGTAAAGCTCATGTGCACACTTGCCCCTAAATACTCCTCCAATTTAGCCCAGCTTGTCCCTCAAAGTGTATGTAAACCCCAACAATGAGCTTATCTTATGTGCTCCCATTTGGTCTGTTAAATAAACCATTGAAAGAGTTTTCATATATTTGTTCAATAAGTGCAAAAAAATAAAATAACTCTAGATCTTCCCAGAAATCTGATAACTGCATGCGCTCTCTGCCTATGCTGCACTCCTTATCAGTTAGTACTGTTCACAGCTCTGTCTTTCTGTGGACTCCAAGATACCTCACCCTATGTTGTGATGGATGAGGAGAGGGAGAGGTGTTCTGTAGTTCTAACACTCTTCTTGTTGTCATTCTGGGACAGGAATTGTATTACCGACAACATTACCAGGAGAAAAAAGCCAAAGAAGAGAACTAAAGCAGCCATCACATCTAAGAACTGGCAAGCTGAATATATTACATTTTGCCATTATAAGATGGTAATAAAAGCAGTGATATGCATTGCCTATCCAAAAAAAGTCACCACTTGGATTCAGCTAAGCAAATAGGTCAGGTAAGGCAAATAGGTTGGTAAGGTCAGCTGCCTACCCGAATATACTGAATGACCGGGTTTTTCCATCAATGGATGTTTTCTTCCCTGATTGGGCATATTCCAAGATGATAACGCCAGGATTTATTGGGCTCAGATTGTGAAAGAATGGACTGGCAGCCACAGAGACCAGATCACAACCTCTTGAGTATTTTTGGGATGTGCCGGAGAAGACTTTACAAAGACTTTATGCAGAGGTCCGACTCTCCCATCATCACTTTCATTTTGGTGAAAACGAATGCAACTCTGGATGGAAATAAATCTTGCGACATTGCATAAGCTTATGAAAGCGATGTCACAGAGAATGCATGCTGTAATCAAAGCTAAAGGCGGTCCAACAAAATATTAGTGTGTGACTTTTTTGGACAGGCAGTGTATAAAGCTAATGAATCGCTTAACATTTTTAATAAATCAATGAAAGGGATGCACAAACTAAGATGAAAAAGCGTGAATATTTAAAGGGTCAGTACACCCAAAATTGCAGTCTTAGTTTAGTGAATGCTAACAGTTTCACATATTTCTCTTTAGTGAGACTTCTACATTCGGAGGCATCCCCAGGGAGATGAGCGGCTGCCGGGTGTCACCAGCCGAAATGCCATTAGGTGCGTGCACGACGTCATCACGCATACGCGTAATGACATCATGTGCAGTTAACATCAGCAGGCCATCTCGGTCATGGACGCCGGCAGAGAAAGGAGGGGACATTTATCTGACGTGATAAGGAATGCTGCCAAGTCCCCTCCTCTCTTGTACAGCTGTCGGGCACTCTATGACTCCATGACCGAATGCCCGATTTTTCTTGAGGGGGTGACACCAAAATGACTGACCGAGTCATTTTGGTGTCACCGAGTGCCCCCTTGTGACTCCACTGCTACATTTCAATTCCCAGATCTACATCCTGCTGAGGCCTGTTGCATGTTATATTATGGGGAATGTAACAGTAGGAGCTGGAACACACAAAGATGGGCAGGAACAGAAAAACCTCCCGGGCTGGAAATGATGGCAGGCAGATGTTGGGGTATTCAAAACATATTCCCTGGAATTCATAAAAAGTGTCGCAGACACTCTTTACAATTGTGTCATGCCTCTGCACAACAAATATCAGTGGCTGCAACAAATGTATGTACCTGTGGAAAATTAGTTCATTAATTTGTGGCACTGAGGCATGGTGGGGGGTGGCACTGAGACTGGAGTGTCCATACCGCAGACAATTGCTGCCCAACCCTCCTTACTCCAACATTACATTGGTCTTAATTAACTCCGAAATGATGGTATTTGTTATTTAATTTATCACAGCCATAGCGACTTTTAGCAAATTCGTCATATGTGTCAATATTGAATGGAACTGCCCCATAACTATTATAAAGTTGGCACAAGCGTTCTAGATACAACTTTAATGCCAGGATTGTGTTGCAATCGCCCTCACTGTATAAGGGGCCAGGGGGTGACTTAGCCCATCATGCTTCATCTATACCTAAAATATCCTCATTGGGTGGACTAACCCCTTATTAACAAATAACCTGATTATTTGCCAAATGTCAAATTTCTCACTGGCAAAGCCAGCATGGCCTTTGGCACTCCTAATAAGAAAAGGTAAAAAGGTGTCAACAGTACAATTCTTGTGATCTTAATTAACAGCGGAGCTCTCCTAATTCTGAGCAAACTAAGCAGTGCAAAGATCAATGATGATATGCAAAGTGCGGTAACCAATAGCACCCAGAATTTACCTTGCATCGGTTTTAAGTTGTTCAACAATGATCAATCATAAGCTCTTACCTGTTATACAGAAATCACCAGGGCAGCTGTACTGCTGTGGGTATAACACATCACTCACCTCGTGGGATGGTGAAGTAGCTCCTAGGTGTAGGATCCCAGCATTTTGCTACAGTCAGGCTGATTGGCCTGTAGAAAGGAAATACGGCACACAAATGATAATCTATCTTTATCTGCAAATTATTACTGAGGGCTCATTCACTTTAACACCCGTTCAAGAAATAGGTTGCGGCTGTCATAGGGACAAGAAGACACACACAGCAATAAAACCATTGGTGGAAGTTCTAACCCTCCCCAACTGTTGTTGTATGTGTCCTCACTGGAGAAATATGGGAGATATGTTGTCAGCACAGCTTCTGCTTCAAAATTATTCTTTATTGATGTTCCTTTAGCATATGGAAAGAAAATTTAACATTTTAGAACCTCAAACCTTCATCAGGCAAAATGATGATGGTCACTTAGCTAGAGTAAGGGTCCCTGCGAGGTTCCCTAGCGTTGCATTTTCCTTTGATATGCTAAATGAACATCAATAAGACAAATTTCTGTAACGCAATTTTTGGGAAATCTTCTTTGGAGATACTGACCCCTTTGTAGTGCAAGCGCAGCTCCAACTAAAACATTTTAGCTTGAGCATGAAAGAGATAATCTGACCACCCTTGTTACAATCCGATTGTATAATCTCCTTTAGCTTTACCAATACAATGCAGTATATGTTTGGGTACAAATTGAATGGCCTGTATAGGCAGGTCTTTGCACTGGTTGCATGATAGAAATCAGCCCTGTCTATGTCGTTCAATACATCTCTTTGTGAACACAGGTCTCATTTTTGTAGCTCACCCACAAGGATCTTAATGACCATTCCGCTCTTAATTCATAATACCTGTGTCACTTCTGTCTTAATTTAATGCAATACACACTGGGAATGGTTGCCATGGAGACAATCAACCTAATGACATATGCATTTCATTGAAAATGTATTTATGTGAGCCCACTCTAATGCTCCTTCACACCAAAGCAATTTTATACATTTGGGAGGCATGGAAACCAATACGAGAAATAAAACACTCTTTCAGCATCACTTGCTGTATTCTTGTGCTGTCTTATTTCCTCTTAAAGACGAAAGTCCACAGTAGATGCTTAGGTGATGGTTATGGGGGCCAAAGCAAGTCACATTTTTCCCCAGATTACATTAAGAGTAGGAAACATTAGTTACAAATGCTATAATTTTAAGATCTTTTGGCAGCTGAAGACAGCGGATATAAGGTTTTGGTTACTGGAAGCGACAATTGTACACACATGGCAGATTTCCTGTATAAAAAGGTCATGGCTGACAACAACAGGTAAGGGTTTGTTCACACTATCGCATTGCAGTAACACACGCTGGATGTGCATTGTGTTAGGGAACCCGTTTAATTTTAAACTGGCTGCCAATGCACTAAAAACAGGACATGCAGTGCACAGATGGTTTACATTTGTGCCCTATCGTGTGCTACAAGCATGTGCGTAGCTGCCTAGGTGCATTAATGTGTCGCACTGCAATTAGCTTCATGCCTGACCGCACTTCACATGAATGCAGTGTAAAAATGTGTTTAATCGCAACATGTCAGAATGAACCCTAAGGCCCCATTCAGACATGTTTTGTTCAGTGTGGGGCATTACCACATGTTATGTCATGTATTAACGTGTTGTGTTAAAGCAGATGATTTATTTGAATGGGTCGCCAATGCACCATAACTGACCAGAAAATGCAACTGCAGGGTTTTTTTTTACGTACCACCTAGTGTATTACTATACATTGAGTGTGGCGCAACGCAGTTGTGTTGGAGGTGTGTTCATTTGCTGTGTTGGGGTGCCATTAACACATGCAAGGGCGGTCCACCCAAAGGGATTTTCAAAGGTTTATATATTTATCTTATAATCTTATATACAATATAGAAAATTGAACAATCACTATAGCCAGTTGCATTAAACTTACCCAGGCTTAGATACAATTTCCCTCAAGACCCTGACTGCATCATCATTGCTCATGTTCTCAAAGTTCACATCATTTACCTGTAAAGTTAAAAACAAACAGAATCTCACTATTGATATATAATCTATTATATCAGATGTCAGATTAGATTAGGATGGATAGATAGATTTTTTTTTATTGGATAGAGTGGAAAAAGTTACATTAAAAATTAGAATCTCCTCTGTTTTTTCTGGGGCAGAGAGCTTATCCTCCTGACAGCTAACATAGACAGGCCAAAATCTATGCAAAAATATATATTTTTAATTTGATAAAGTGGGAAAGGAGTAAAACCTCCTCTGTTTTTTCTGACACCTGTCGAACACACAGATAATGAAGGGAAATCTCGCTAACGGGTCAAACAACAATAAAAACATGACAGGGATTATAATCTTTCCCTAGTCTATCCAACTTTTTGAACTTTTTTGCCAGATCTTTAGCTTAGGTTAGTTAGGTTAATTAGCCTCTATACTGAGTGCTCCTGTCTATTCATAAACTGTGGATATAGTTCCTATGTCCACAATCATGAATGAACAGGAAGTGATGTAGAGCGCTTCCTGTTCATTCATTAATTGGGGCACAGTAAGCATGCTGTGTCCTTAGTTATTTACAAACACTCAGTGATCAGCTGATTGCTGAGTGCTTGTAAGCCGCTCCCCGTCCTGACTCCTCCGCCTGTCCCAGGGGGCCGAGCGGGGCGGGAGGAGAGCTGATCCTCCAGACAGCTAACATCCTGACTATGCGCCTGTCACAGGAGCCGAGCAGGGAGGTGCAAAAGGAGAGCTTGGCCTCCTGTGACAGCTGTCTCTGCTCCGCTATGCATCCTGAGCTGTCTCCTTCCCGCTCGGCCTCCTGAAACCTTCTCTCCTTCCGCTGGGCACTGGCCTGTGTCCCCTCGGATCCCCGCTGCTTCTGCCGACACTGGCGGGGGAGAGCAGTGGGCAATCGGAGGGGACACAGACTGGCCCCCAGTGGGAAGGTGAGAAGCAGTCAGGATGCACTAAATTTTCGGCTGCATTTCTGGCTGTTCTGGTACTTTCCACATTCTGCCCAAAGTACCATTTTCAGCCGAAGTTTCGGTGCATCCCTATTTATAAGTATACTCATAGGTAGAAAATGAAATCTTTAAAGTGTAACTATGTTGAGGACGCCTCCAGGTCGCCATATTACATTGATTTTTTTTTACAGATTTAGAACATTACAGCAGCGGCAGTCTTAAATGGAAAGGTCATTCTTAATAACATTACATTTCAAAATGTCTTGTGCAACAATTACATTTATTATATTCATTTTTTAAGATTGTTTTATATGTTTGAAGCTACTCTTTAAGTTTGGAAGGTGTGCCTGATTGTATAGATTCTGTATCATATTTTATATGTTTATTTTTATCTATTGTTCCAGCAAGCTGTATTCTACTGTCTGTTCGATCCATGAAGAGTGTATACAATTCAGTCTTTATACAGTCATTATACAGACTCTATGACCACATCCTGCATTCTGTATCATTTTCTCTTGTTCCTGTTTGTTAGTGTTAAAATGATAAGTAAAACCTTCCAGAAAATCTATATTCAGTGTACGAGACTCCTTCCCTGGTCATATTAAAATGCAGCACTTTTATCCTGCATTCTCCTTGTAAATAGGGAGGTTGGAGAAAGGGGAAACAATTCCCAGTATATATGAAGCTTAGTAATATCAAAGGCAGCTGACATGAGCCTGTGATGGCATTAAACCATCCCCTGTGTATTCTCAGCAAAGTCAAAGAAACACAAGTAATCTTGTAAATGACTCCTGAGGCTGTGTGATAATCAGCCGCATGTCAGCTGCTGTTTGGGTAGTGATACCGTACTCTTTTCTTCCAGGACGGTGGAATGCTATAAGACATTCTCTGAATAACACAGTGTATATCGAAGGGGGGTTACAATAACTCTTAGCACCCAATCACAGGCTTCCATCCTTCATCTTTTTTCGGTTACATGTACCTAGGCTCTTCAGAACCATGATTTGGACCGCTCACATTTCAAGCTCCATCTTAAAGTTCATGTTTTGTTCTAAACCTGTTTTAGAACCCTCGGAAAACAGCTAAATACCCAGATGTAATACAAATATGGGAGCTGGTTTAACTATGTTTAAGTATTGGTACTTCTGTCCATCCAGGGGGCCTGTGCATGCACTCTGCAAGCTCCTTTCAATCCTATGGAGAGTTCGTACTCCCACCCCGGTGTACAAATCTCAATAAGATTGAATGGAGAGTTGAGAACGCAACTGCAGGCCCAGCTGGCAAGATTTTAAGTGGCTCTATGCTGCAGACAAGCAGATATTTTGCTGCATTTGGAACATTTGAGTATAATGGTGGCCATACACCCAGCGTTTTTTCCTATTCAGTTTGTTGGGCTGCATGAAAATAAAAGCTGGGTGTAGCATTAAACAAAATCTTCAATTCCCCCATCTACATTGTTTAGCACTTGCTAGCTATTGTATTCTGAAAGCCAGCACCCACCACTGTCAGAATACATAAACAGTAACTGCAGCTGACTGAATGCAGTCACCGTTCGGCAATAGTTATCAGCCTGGCTACTTTGACATAAGTCATTTAAAAAATAAACTTTTGTCAAATAGAGGCGTGCCAGCAGGGCCACACACTACTTGAGTCAGCAGGATTCAAACACATTTCGAACAGTGTATAGCCAGCTTAAGACTGGTGGAGAGTGGTGTTGCTGTAGACATTACATAAGTAATAAAAGTGACATATATATATATATATAAAATATTAAATATAAAAGGGAACAGCAGAGGGATGACCTCCTTAGTGTCCTTCTTCTCCTCACTGTCCATTCAAAAGCTAGGAGGTGACCAAGCTGAACTAATGCAACACAGGAAAAATGAGGTCTCCCAGGGAGGTCATGAATGACTGCAAGGCTGAATCGGCCAAAAATGCAATCCATGTGTCCCCAGCTTAACGCAACATGTAAATTGCCAATATTAATCAATAAATATCACATCTGCATTACGATGAAGAAAACAAACTAAAATGTGAATAAGCGCACAGCGGGTTAGTGGTCCCTAAGATGAAGGCAATTGGTGAAATGAGATGTTCGGTGAGCAAGCTCCTCCTAACAGGGAGAGGAACCCTGCAAATCAATACATAAAAATAAACAAGTAATAGGAGCTCTACTACCCTGGAATGGATGATGATTACTGATGTGTGAAAAAGGACAGTTAGACTTACAGTTTGAAGACAGCTGATGTGTCAGAAGTTATCATGGCATCTGAATGTCGGATGCTTGGGAAGGAACCTCCTTCCATCCATCCTTGGATTCAGGTTCCTTCCCAAGCATCCGACATTCAGATGCCATGATACCTTCTGAGACATCAGCGGTCTTCAAACTGTAAGTCTAACTGTCCTTTTTCACACATCAGTAATCATCATCCATTCCAGGGTAGTAGCGCCCCTATTACGATGAAGAAGTTCACTCACTTCACCTTTATCCAAGTTTAATGCAACTTTCCCATGACAACCTGCAGCCAGATTCAGTAGGGCTACTGCTGTGCCTCTAGGCTGGACCTTAGCTGACTGCCAGTCCTGCTATGCAGGTTCCCTGTTTCCAGGACATTATGTAAGGAAGGCGCAGGAGTGTGAGCAACTGGTGCACAGATGCCAGGATGAGATTCAGAGGCTCTGTGGGAAGAGGTTGTGTCCCCTGCATCTATTGAAATGGCAGCTTGTCATGTTTTATTGGTGTGCATACTTCATTCTTTAGAGAAACAAAACCACAAGCTGCCACATACTATACCTGTAGAAGCATATCTCCGGGTTCAATCCTGCCATCTGCAGCCACAGCTCCACCCTTCATGATAGATCCAATGTATATTCCCCCATCTCCGCGGTCATTGCTCTGCCCCACAATACTGATGCCTAGAAAGTTGTACTTCTCTGAGTAGAGGAAGGACAAATGAAAAACATTTAATATATAAAACCAATGGGCCAGGCTAGGAGCTTTCAGCATCAGCTCTGACATTATTATTATTATTACATAGTATTTATATAGCGCCAACAGTTTGCGCAGCGCTTTACAATATAAGGAAGACATTACAGTTACAATACAATTCAAGACAAGATGGTAAGGAGGGCCCTGCCCCGGAGGGCTTACAATCTAAAATTATATTTTCCCCACACTAAAATAAGACGGACCTCCACCACTAAGGGGGTGACGCAGCAGATCTGGTACTTACCCATGTTCAGGGTGACAGTGATGATGTTTAGCGACATGGTTGAGTCTGTAATGCTGCTGAAGGATGAAGACTGTAAAGGACATAGAGCACTATCAGAAATACAATCTGATTATATTACCATGTACATTTCATATATCAGGTACTTAAACATTATTGTCGCCGGGATACATTTACTTATGTGGATTTCACGTGTCACTAGAGAAAGTCCTGACAGCACACGGATATATGGAATTGAATCTTTGTGCTAAGGAACAATCAGGTGACAATGTGCTTCACTTATGAACAGGGCCCCAATCAGGGGGGTACAGCCAGCATTCAAGTAAGGGGCCCCAGCAGCTTGGGGCCCCAGCACCAAGGAGTATATGCTATAAAATATTATGTACAGTCCAGTTGGTACGGTCCCACTCCCCCCTTCTCTGTACAATTGGTACCTTCCTGTACGTGCAGGAAGGTTTTCAGGGGGCGGAGCTTATGTTTTAGCTGACCGAAGTACTGAAGAAAGGCGGGAGCAGAGCTGCTGTAGCAAAAAGGTAAATGTTTTAAAAGCTTCCAGGGGGGTTGTTGCAGATACAGCAGCTGGTTGCCCGATGCTGGGCTGGGGGGGGGATATTTGCAGATGACAGCAGCCGGTGCCCAAGGTTGAATAGGGCCCGACGCTGGGGTGGTGGGGGAGGTTGGGTGAGCTTTTACAGAGGACAGATTGGTGTCTGAGGCCCGACGCAGGGGGAGGGGCAGCGCAGAGTACAGCAACTGTACCAACACTAAACAGCGTCCATTGCACTGGGGTTGGAGGGTTGGCAGGGGACAGCAAGCGTCAGTGTCTCCTGTGCGTCGTCACTCCAGTGGCGTCTGTGTCGCCTGTGCGTTGTCACTCCAGCGGCGTCAGTGTCGCCTCTGCGTTGTCACTCCAGCGGCGTCAGTGTCACCTTTGCGTTGGAATACACATTACAGTTTCATATATTAAGTTGTAATAGTGTTGCAACTGTAATTAGTGTTACAGTGGGCGGACTCAATGGGACAGCCAGTGGACAGGTGCAGTGTTGGTAGGGTGGCGTGGGGCCCAAGCATAAAGCTGTGTAAGGGGCCCCAAAATTTCTGATGGCTGCCCTGCTTATGAGATGTGAAGGATCTTAATTTGCAGTTTGTCGAACGTGCGGCTAAAGTAGACAGTGGTCAATGGCGAATGACTGATAAAGTCAATAGGGCGAATCCTTTTAAAGCAACTGCTAGCAGTGGATGTAACATTAACGTGGACCTAAAAGGAGGAGGAGTTTAAGGAAGATTTTTGCAAGTAAGCTCATAATGGATTGTCAAAAATAACTATTGTTTGAACTGAGTGATGTTATAAAAGAAAAGTGTGTGCTGTGACTTGAGATCTGTTTTAATTATCAACCTATGAATTGGAAAAATGACAGCTGGAAGCTGACAGGTTGCCATAGGCAACAAAAAGATTATCTATTTACAAATGGTCAGCCAGGGGAAAAAATCCATTACTTACTTTATCGACCTGACGCATTTTCTGCTTCCGTCTCCTCCGTTTGTGCTTGCGGATAAGACGTGAAGATGTGCTTTGTTCTGTGGAACTACTTAACCTGTGCAATAAGGAAAGCTTATTACATTTCATCATTAAAAAAACACCATACTTCCACACTGGTAAAAAAAAACAGAATATCTGTAAAACATGTTTTAATTTTTTGCTTGTTTCTCGAGTCGACAAACCAGTACTGGGTATTAACAGTGACAGGCTTTTGGCACGCAAAGCCATTATAATGACATTTATGAAGTCACGTGGGTATTAGACCAAGGCCAGGACAAAGGAAGGGCTATCATAGGGGTAAGGGAAATCACTGTCCCCTAAAGCAGGGTTTTTGTGAGTTATTTTTTATTGGCTAGTGTCTTGTAGGTGTTCCTGTTCCCTTGGAGCATTGTCTCTACAGCAGTTACTCTTTTCCTTGGTGCGACACCATAAAATGGAGCAACGGGCTTTGGAAAATGTATTTTGCTGTAAGAAAATGCCTTTTGAATCCTTTCATCTTCAGACCTGCATGTCCAGGTAAACCTATGAAATTCCTGTGGTAATTAATATGCTTTTAGGATGACAGTTATTTCACATTGCCAGCAGCCATTACTTTTTTCCCCCCTGAGAACCACCTACATACTGGTGAAAGACAGGCATTTAATGTCATACTTAAAACATAAGTTTGGTTGATAACAATCCTTCACAATCCTTCTTGGATGTTGCATGCTTCATTTATGAACTGATGGCACACTATAACAGAAGGCAGCATCATTTTACCCTAGTGATGTTGTCATGAAAGTAGCCCTGCTCAAAGGGAGAGGAACCAGACATAGTGTAGGCGCAAATGGATAAAAACCAACACCAGTTATATTATACCTGAGCACCCAAAGACAATTTGATGTATAGCTGTATATCCTTTTGCAGTAGGACAATATGCATGGCTGCGTATCTCAGGACTAGGAAAATAAGAGGAGCTGGCCACTTTTCTGCAGAAATGAATCAAAGGTTTTGTCTGAATTTAATGAAGCTTTTCAGGGTCCAGAAGCTGTGGCCTACAATGCCTTTCTTACCTCTATCCTCACAATGCTGGTCAGTGAATGAAAAGCTATTTATAACCTGCCCAATCAAACTATTCATCTGATCAGTGCCTTGAGATCACCCCTTGTGGGTTTTTTGTTTAACCCAAACAATACATCAATTGCTACCCACCTAATATATAAGCCACTGGGTGCCTAAGGTCTACAGACAGGTTTTGGGTGGACTGTACCATGTTATGGTCATTCACTAGACCGTTAGAAAAAACATCTCCACTCCCTAAAGTCACAGCCTCATCCCTCTACTTTGTAGCTATGACTGACTTGCTTGGCTTTATTCCAAACAGTGGTGTCACCCAACCAGTTCTTGATTCTCCGTATTTTCCTATGGAATCCAGGAGAAGCAGAAAAAAGCCACAACTTGTCATGAAACTAAGCTGGATAATACATGATCATGATGGAGGGGTGGGAACAAATCTGACTAGGAAATCATCCCTTTCTTTGTCTTTCGTTAATCTTACCCTTTGGGTATTTATTTAAAACTGTTTGTGGTTTCCTCTTAACCTGTCCATATATTTGAAGATTGGACTTTGTGGGTGGCCTGATGTGTATTTGGCCATACTGTGTACCTTAATAATGCAGAAGTTTGGCTTCCACACGTTTTTTTAAGGCTGTCATTCAATGCCCAGATGGATATATGTTAATGTCAAATGCAAGGGATGGCGCATTCTTGGCTTATTATCAGATTATAGTCAGGTCCACAAGCACCTAATCTATGTGATAACGGCTGTGTGCATAGAAATTCTTCACTCTACCTGAGCTGGATAACTGATCATTTGGATCCACTAAAAGGGAGGATAAGGTCAGTCCTTGTGATTGTAACCAATACTCTGCCAACAGTTTGTGTCACCAGCTTAAAGGAGAACTATGAGGCGAGTGCTTTTTACTCACCTCATAGTTCTAGCCGACCTGTGACAATGAGACTGTCACAGGTCGGCTCAGTAGATCGGGAAGGGAGCGAACACATACCGGCGTTCGCTCACTTCTCGATCCTGTCACGGCAGAGAGCCGTGACAGTGGAGGGACTGGATTCCCCCCTCCCCGCTCTGATCCTCCAGCGCTGACTGGCGGAACGGACGGGGGAGGGGGCGGGTACAGCTGGGTCTGCCTCTAGATAAGCAGAGCCAGCTGTCACTCACGCAGCTGGGCAGATCCAGACATAATTGTCGGGATCCGCTTCAGCGTCTCAGTATATATATATATATACTGAGCTTAGGGTGATGGGAGGACGCTTGTTTGTGTCCTCCCGTTACCCTAAGGAGAACTATGAGGAAAAGCCCTAACCCCATAGTTCTCCTTTAAGCAGAAGGAAGGAAATAAAGATTCTGCTGGGAATTGTAGGTACTCTTACCGAAAAACCCATGGTTTAAGAGGGCTGAGTCTGTGCCTGAGTTTTTTGTTCCTGTCTATGCCCACCCTAGATATATTTTTTCCTTTGTTTCTATATGGAAATCTGCACAACAGGGACACAACCATCAATAAAAAACTAAAATAGATTCTAATCCTTCCTTGCTTTAACAATACCCTTAAAAATGTTTCAGTGGGGTAAACTTTAAAAACGCAGATCCACTTTCAACCTACAGGGATTCAAGTCAGTTACATAAAGTCAAACTGAAAGTATGAACCCCTTAAAAAAAGGAAAGAACTCCGGCTACGATACATTGCGCTTTGCTTGTTTACCATCGCTACAAGGTCTTTTTTTCACAATAGCATTTGTGGCTTTGTTTGTAGCTTTGCTGTGTCTGTAAGGATTTACATCACCCAAACCGTGTGACAGTCCATTGTAATTTGTCTCAGCTTTCACGGTTCTATTTGCCTCCAAAACAAACTTTTCTCTCATCTCACACACTTCCCACCCTTGTCAGAGCCTACAGATCTGCAGCCCGGGGGAACAAAGCTTGATCTCTGAGCTCTGAGGAAGCCAGATGAGAAGCAGAGAGGGGAGACGTGATGACAAGCCATTGCTGGGGAAGAGACACACCTTGACCACATCCAGCTATGCCGAATCTACCTGTAAGACCGATTCAGGTTCTGGCTTGTCTGACACACTCAACAGTACAAACAGGCAAGTGGCCGCTAGCCCTAGCAGAGTCGTGGAAGACTTACTCCGCTAAACACACATCTAAGATGGCTATTTAACACTACCTCATTAAAATGAAATGAAAACAACATATTTTCTTAAATTCTCTACTAAATGCTTAAGTATCTTAGTGAATTTGATAAGTATTAGAAAGTTTACAGCTAAATGCTAATCTGCTTACACACTCTTGTGTCATTAGCCATGGCAAAAGCAACAGCAAAACCCACTAACTATGCAAGGGAATTTTTTCTTGGGCTGCCCATAGATGGCAAATTATTGCCCAAGATATACAGTGACTCAAAAAGTACTGCAGCCATTGGGTCAATGTGACAGCCAGGCAACTAAGCTAAGATCTTCAGAAGGACGTTATCAATGGCAGCCCCTTTGCAGGGTAGATCAACAGATTTACAGAATTGCGCCACCACCTACTGCTTATATCCACCTTTGGTTTGCTTTCCCCCATGCTGTTGACCCGACAGAGAGAAAGTGAAATACCCAGTACTTTAAGTTATAGGACAGCATATGCACAATGCAGTGCTACATGCCCAAGTGGCCAATCACTAAGCCCAAGTGCTGTCACATGGTGATGATGGAGTCCCTAGCCCTGTGTAAGATCTGTACAGGTTGAATTCCACTTCACAGTTAGAGAACTGAAGGAAAAGCAAGTATAGCAAGGGGAAAGGAAGGTAAGTATGGGAGGGAGCAAATAAGGAGCAGTTAGTTGAGCAAAGGGATAATAAGTTCAGGGGAAAGCAATTAACTGAACAGGGTTGACTTAAAGGAGAAAATTCAATCTGGAAGATTTCGTCATCAAACTCCACCATGGTAGTTCACTTGATCAAAGGATATGCTAAGTGGGAAGGTCCGCCTAAAATTATCACATGATCAGTCTCGTTGTTGTAAAAAGAAACATTACACTCAATTTATTCCAACTGTCTCAAATTATCTATTGGATTTCTACAGAAAACTAAAATGCATGTTGGCAATTTTTTTCACTTTCAATTTTCTTGAGTTTGGTGATCATACAGTTTAAAAATATTCAGTTGCTTTGGATTAGATTGTAACATGTGAGGTATATCAGACTTTTATGGCATAGAGAAAAAAGTAAACAGAATTAACTAATGGGTTGAACAGGAGAAATCACTTGATTCCCCCATCCATGCTAAACAGTGTGAATGGGGGAATTGTCCCTGCCCTGCTGCGCATGCAGCTGTCAGAATACCTGAACACTGACTGCAGCTAACTGGCAGCAATCATTGTTCAGAAGACTTTTTTCTATCTGGTTCCTTTGATTTTTCAATTGATGTTGGTTGAACTAGGTTGAGTTGGCAGGGCCACCCATGGCACGCATTTGAGCCGTATATGGCCAGCTTTGGTATGTGCTGCTAGGCGGTGGGGGGTTAAATGAACATCTTCCTTTGCCCTGCAGGGGCAAAGCATATGTTTACTTTAAATGCAGTAGTCCAGACAAGCAGTTAGGAGTCCATTCTGATCTGCTTTTCTGGTCTGCATTCTGATGTCATGGGTTGCTACATTGAAGTGGAGCTTTACATACAAATGAAAAATTTACAAACAAGATGTTCCTTTATTACAGAAGAGATAAACTATGTCTCTTCTGCAATAAAGGACTCTTACCTGCTTGTTCACAATCTTCTTGACAATGTACACTGATCTGCATATGCATGTTCAGGAGTTAGTCATCCCAGCACAGCCAAAGAAGATGACCAAAGATCCCAAACTCAAAAAAAGACCGGGTGAAGATGTCAGCGCTGGTGAGAGAGTGATGTCACTCGCGGATGTGACATCTCTGGAGGGGAGGTGAGTATAAGTCCATTTTAAGAAAAACAATTCTATGCTGAAAAAGACCAAAAGTCTTTTACTGCCCCCTCCAATCGCCATCCCCTGTCTCTCGTACCTGCTAGTGTTGTCTTCATCAGAGTCCACAAAGCTACTGGACTCCAGCTCGCTGCTCATCACGGTGGAAGCGCTGTCATATCCTCCAGGGTCACGCATGCGCTCCACTTTGGGGTGCCCATTGATCCTCGGAACTGGCAGTGAAAAAAAGAATATGATGAGTTGAAACTCAGCAAACAGCTATCGCTAAAAAAAAAGCTTTTGCTATCAAAGCAAATGTAAATCTAGTACTAAAGACAATGCGATGTAAGGTACAGTACATTAAGCAGAATAACAACAAGTGACAGGGAGATACAGATGGCAGGAGCAGAAATATCAACCTCTAACCCACTAAACATCCTCCTTTAATCTGAATGAAAAATGGATGATGCTGACAGGGCCAGACCACAAAGCTGAGAATAGGCTGTGCCTTTAATCAGGGTAATAGACTCCGTCAGTTCCAGACCGTTTGATGTAAAGTGTCCTGACTGATGAAGTATCATTACTTCAAACATAGTGTACCTCCTTCATCAATACCTGTAACTGAGCACCTTCCATCATCCGCACTGCGGGCCTCATGCATGAAAAATGTCCTCTGCAACCAATCAGATTCTCCCTTACATACTTCAGCGGCAGTGTGGCGGAAACTGGCCTGTATTCTGGAATTTTTAAGTAAGAGGCTCAGGGGCCCAGTTATAAAACAGCGCTATGGCCCTACCACGGTTATACTGCTGCTTTAAATAAAAGCGTATTTATACAGCACGGTGGGGGCGATTCATTAAGGCATTTGCAACACATTTCTTGTGGTGTGGATGTAGTCAGAAGCCTTGCGTCAAACTCATAAAACCTGTACAACACTCTCATTGTTAGTGCCACCACATGCATCAAATTCATGTACGCTTTTACTGTTTGTCGCTATTGTTGTGACAAATTCAAAGAACTATTCCACATTGTGGATAGGAAAGTGGAGGTAAATCCTCTTCCTTGCCGGAGTAAATTGTGTTGCATTCTTGAGATAATTCAGCAACAAAACTTTTCTGAGACAATTTTGCGACAGATTCATACACACCTTACTGGCACATTTGTGCCGCCATTTGTCACACAGATTCCTAATGTGTATCTACAATACTGTTTATGAGTTACTCAGAGTGTGTTTAGTTGAGTCCCAAAGTATGCAAAACCCATTCATGGAAGAAAAAAAAATAGGGAGGAGAGAAGCCGATCATGTGACCTGTCAAGGTCATGTGACCAGCCACTCCATTAATCATGGAGTGTTACATATAAATTATGTATGTATAAGAGAGGTTTTTACAACAGTAAGGGCCCATTGACATCATTGCAATGCGGTACGGTGCACGTTAGCACATGCATAGTAATGCATGTTAGAGTGATGTGCTGCCATTGACTGTCACTGGTACCTCAGCACTTTAACTCAGTGCACCTCTGACACACATACACTGCAGCACACCAAAACACCAAGTAGTGCACTACCATGCGTTGCATGCTGTGTCTGAATAAATGGTGCATATTCTGTTTTTTTTTGTCCGCTCTGGTGCGTTGCCGGCCCGCTCTGGTGCGTTGCCGGCCCATTCATTTGAATAGGGTTACTTAACGTAACTGCCAGGAGTTCAGCTTTTCACCTGATATGGAAAAATACAGCCGAAATACCAAAATTGGTGCAATACAGCCGAAATACCAAAATTGGTGCCTGGTTGATATTCAGCACAGAAGAAACAATGTTGTCAGCCATATTCTGACTTTCATATACTGATAAGTTGCCAATGGTAAATAGCAATAACCCGACAAAATGGCTTCCGGCAGAAGATGAACATTTCCAGCGGTGCCCGGTAAATAGTTTGGCAGCCTGTCCAGGCCTCACACAAGCAAGGCAGGTAATACATATTAATTGTAAACTGTATTATCTCACTGCGCTGCTTTTTAGTATTACATTTCTCGGGAACGTACAGCAATGTGGAATTACACTTTGAAGTGTGAAGAAGACAATTTGCTCGACTGTTCATAAAGAAATCTACAGAACTAAGACTAAGCTGAGCATGTAACAGGCTTATAGGGGAGTATGAGTGTGTGATCTTATTCCAGCCCCAGTGCGGGCCCAGGCGCTCTGAACACAATGCCTCTCAGCCACGAGCTGGAAAATCATTCCTATCACAAAACAAAACACCACCTAATCTGTTTTTCCAGCATTTTATCTTCACACCCGTATTCAGTTTCTTCACAGTGACGTATTGCAGTATCTCAGGCAGCCAGAGTGGGGCCATACCAGAACACAAGACAAGCTCAAGCAGCATGAATATATGTAGCTGACAAGATACCCTTTAGTGGGTGGTGCAGGCAGGCGGAACTGTACTGTATAATTACTGCAGGCAGCCGGTACTGTACTGTATAATTGGCTGCAGGCAGGAGCTACTGTACTGTATAATTGGCTTCAGGCAGGAGGTACTGTACTGTATCACTGACTGCAGGCAGGAGGTACTGTACTGTATCACTGACTGCAGGCAGGAGGTACTATACTGTATCACAGACTGCAGGCAGGAGGTACTATACTGTATCACAGACTGCAGGCAGAAGGTATTGTACTGTATCACTGACTGCAGGCAGAAGGTATTGTACTGTATCACAGACTGCAGGCAGGAGGTACTATACTGTATCACTGACTGCATGCAGGAGGTACTGTACTGTATCACAGACTGCATGCATGAGGTACTATACTGTATCACTGACTGCAGGCAGGAGGTACTATACTGTATCACTGACTGCAGGCAGAAGGTATTGCACTGTATCACTGAATGCAGGCAGGAGGTATTATACTGTATCACAGACTGCAGGCAGGAGGTACTATACTGTATCACTGACTGCAGGCAGAAGGTATTGCACTGTATCACTGAATGCAGGCAGGAGGTATTATACTGTATCACAGACTGCAGGCAGGAGGTACTATACTGTATCACTGACTGCAGGCAGAAGGTATTGCACTGTATCACTGAATGCAGGCAGGAGGTATTATACTGTATCACAGACTGCAGGCAGGAGGTACTATACTGTATCACTGACTGCAGGCAGAAGGTATTGCACTGTATCACTGAATGCAGGCAGGAGGTATTATACTGTATCACAGACTGCAGGCAGGAGGTACTATACTGTATCACTGACTGCAGGCAGAAGGTATTGCACTGTATCACTGAATGCAGGCAGGAGGTATTATACTGTATCACAGACTGCAGGCAGGAGGTACTATACTGTATCACTGACTGCAGGCAGAAGGTATTGCACTGTATCACTGAATGCAGGCAGGAGGTATTATACTGTATCACAGACTGCAGGCAGGAGGTACTATACTGTATCACTGACTGCAGGCAGAAGGTATTGCACTGTATCACTGAATGCAGGCAGGAGGTATTATACTGTATCACAGACTGCAGGCAGGAGGTACTATACTGTATCACTGACTGCAGGCAGAAGGTATTGCACTGTATCACTGAATGCAGGCAGGAGGTATTATACTGTATCACAGACTGCAGGCAGGAGGTACTATACTGTATCACTGACTGCAGGCAGAAGGTATTGCACTGTATCACTGAATGCAGGCAGGAGGTATTATACTGTATCACAGACTGCAGGCAGGAGGTACTATACTGTATCACTGACTGCAGGCAGAAGGTATTGCACTGTATCACTGAATGCAGGCAGGAGGTATTATACTGTATCACAGACTGCAGGCAGGAGGTACTATACTGTATCACTGACTGCAGGCAGAAGGTATTGCACTGTATCACTGAATGCAGGCAGGAGGTATTATACTGTATCACAGACTGCAGGCAGGAGGTACTATACTGTATCACTGACTGCAGGCAGAAGGTATTGCACTGTATCACTGAATGCAGGCAGGAGGTATTATACTGTATCACAGACTGCAGGCAGGAGGTACTATACTGTATCACTGACTGCAGGCAGAAGGTATTGCACTGTATCACTGAATGCAGGCAGGAGGTATTATACTGTATCACAGACTGCAGGCAGGAGGTACTATACTGTATCACTGACTGCAGGCAGAAGGTATTGCACTGTATCACTGAATGCAGGCAGGAGGTATTATACTGTATCACAGACTGCAGGCAGGAGGTACTATACTGTATCACTGACTGCAGGCAGAAGGTATTGCACTGTATCACTGAATGCAGGCAGGAGGTATTATACTGTATCACAGACTGCAGGCAGGAGGTACTATACTGTATCACTGACTGCAGGCAGAAGGTATTGCACTGTATCACTGAATGCAGGCAGGAGGTATTATACTGTATCACAGACTGCAGGCAGGAGGTACTATACTGTATCACTGACTGCAGGCAGAAGGTATTGCACTGTATCACTGAATGCAGGCAGGAGGTATTATACTGTATCACAGACTGCAGGCAGGAGGTACTATACTGTATCACTGACTGCAGGCAGAAGGTACTATACTGTATCACTGACTGCAAGCAGAAGGTATTGCACTGTATCACTGACTGCAGGCAGAAGGTACTATACTGTATCACTGACTGCAGGCAGAAGGTATTGCACTGTATCACTGAATGCAGGCAGGAGGTATTATACTGTATCACAGACTGCAGGCAGGATAAACCAGCATAGGAATGCATAGCTAGATTCCTATTGGCTATTTTACTTTGCAATAGCCAATAGCAAGCTGGCTATTGCACCTGCCCTCTGCTGCTGTCAATCAGCAGAGGGGGACCTGAAGTTCTCCATCAGGTCCTCTTCGAGGGATTGACAGCAGCAGTGGGTGGGTGCGATAGCTAGTTTGTTATTGGCTATTGCAAAGTGAAATAGCCAATAGGAATCTAGCTACGCATTCCTATGCTGTTTTTTTTTTTTCTGACTGACTGCGGCTCCGATGTCAGAAAAAAAAAAAACAGAGCAGGGTAAGGTTTACTCTGCTCGATTGAGCAGAGCAAACCTTTCCGGGAGAAAGTGTTTCTCTCCTGGGCGGCCGGGAGCCGCTATCTAATAGCGGGAGACTGCCGGAGCATCCGGGAGAGTTGGGATGTCTGAAACCCACTACAACCAGGCTCAAAAAAAGCACTTCACAGGGTCATTGGGTCTGCACTCCCTAAAGTCTGTTCCATGTATCTTCCTCTTT